ATGGGTATAATTAAAACGGTAGTCGATTACTCTCCCGCAGTTTCAATTATTGATCCCCGGAAGGAGATAAAACTCCTCAGAGCCACTGGATTCCGCATCATCGAAGACCCCACATATCCACACCGGTCTTCTCTCGGGGGTGGCTACCCCTCCATCGCGTGATTAAAGCCAGAAACACCGGAGAAGGTAATTAATCGGAATTCTCGACGATTATTAATCGAGCACGGCGTGCTCACAGAGGGGGAAAAGGTACCGCGTGCGCGATTACAATCTTCCCGTAGGTAAGACCTGGTGGGACTGTTGCTCTAGGCGCGGGTGAAAATTAACCCTCCGGCCGGAGTAGTTTATATTCTCATTAAGGTCCGCGGTGGCTCTAATCAAGATTCGTCTTCCTTTTTTTCTCCACCAGCCACCCTCCATCCCCCGCGTGGTTTAGATGTCAGATTTGTGTGATAGTTTGGACGCGTTTTGTCATACTAGTTTTATGGCAATCGCAGAGTCATTTTCAAATTTATGTCTCAATCGGCAATAATTATTTTCATCAGTATGAAAATTCTTGAAATTATCGTGGATACCTGGAGACAATTGACCGAAAATTTTTTAATGAATTTATGCACTCCCGAGTAAAAGGGGGACACAGTATATTCAGTGCTCGGAGCATCCGTTATCGAGAGCGATTGATTCTTACTGTTGAAGTAGGCACGTACGTCTCGACGATAAATTCTCGCACAAACCACAGGGGCTTAATAACGAAGCACCCTTGGGACCATCGATAGAAACTCGGAGGGAGATAAAAGTCGTTATTTGTTCGCTTGAGTAGAAGTCCCAGACGTGTTTCCAATCATTGGGTGGGTATTTAAAACTCCAACAAACTCAATGCCCTCAAATCTAAAGTGACAATCCCGAACGAATTCACATCAATAATAAAACACCCTGAATATTTTTGACGTGATATAATCCCATGAATTGTTCATGTAATCGATAATTCCCCGAATTTTCCATCTATTGATTCCACAACCGATTCCAAGCAATTCGCTTATAGTCGAATGCCAGAAGCTCTAGGAATGGAAATAAATTAATTAATGGATTTATACCCATTATCGGTGAAGACTGTCGATCAATAATTTCTGGTTATCGGCTTGATCGTCCACGTAACCGTCGGAAATATTATGATCAGTTTTGCTGAATCCATTCAAACATGCTACACTAGCCACGTATCAGTTGAATTTGATGCCTAAACAGCATACTCGTCAATTAAATAGTTAACGTACTCAATGGCCTTTCCAATTATCGTCAATAGACAATTAGCATATACGACGATGCTATACAAGCGTGTACGAATAATTAGTTACGGCGCCGGATCTACCTGCCGAGGATTTAAGTTTCAACTGATTGTCGAAGGACGAGATGAAAATTAGAACTGAATTCTGCGAGAATTAAAATATTGAGAAGATTATTCTTGCACTCATCTAATTTCCGCAATTGGAGATTTCATTTTCCAATTTCCCTTTCCAAGAAATTACGAGCGTGGATGAATAAATTTCTTGGATTTCACTCCAAAATTTTATCTCAATTATGGAAAATCTACCATTGCCTTTACGGCGTGGGAAGAATACATCCACAGGTGACTACACCGGTTTTCACCGATAAAAGCCATAATTTTCACTGCAGAAGGAGAGAATTGTCGCAATAGCCGGTCTACGAAATAATTCTCTGTTCTTTATCTCGACCCTTCAACTTTTCTACCGTTGAAATCCGGCTGTATGTTTAATCCGATTGCCGAAAGAGATTGGATCATCTCTCTCTATCTGGGAAACGCGTTAAAACCCTCGAGCTTCTGCGTCCAAAAGGCGTGTAACTGCTAACCCGATACCCAAGGATTACTCATAATCTGCGGTAAGCTCTTCTCTCCTGTTTCTCCTCATCTTCATCGCTTTTCCGTCTTCGACAAGTGTACAACCCACTGATATATTGTTTAACTCCGGCAATTTTCTCCGATCGCTTGCTAATCCCCGACCCAACTATCTCCAATGAGAATGTTTGTTGGCTTAAGAACAATTCAAAGTATGATTCACGGTCATTTATTCTCCGCTGATGGAATTACCAATGATCAACAAGATTCCAGTCGAGATTGCGAGAAATAATGAGTGGCTTCTCCGCAATCGTCGAGAAGATGCGTCTCCATTATCTCCAGTGCAATCTCACTTATTAAACGATCATGCACACCGGTTATTTTTATTTATTAAAATAATAATAACACCAAAGAATAACGCATTCGACCCGGCATCCGGTCACTTCTCAATATCTATAGGTATTTCATGCATTCATGCATTCAAATATGACACGAATTTCCATCACATTTTCCGTCACGAAAATTCCCCAGAGGTAAAAAAAATCATATGTGCCATCGGAACGACAGCATTAGTTTGCGCCTTGTGGGAGAGTCAGTACTTCTCACGAGCCGTCCTTTATTCTTATTATGGCGCAATGTACTCAGGATATTCAAGCGCTTTTCTCTGTGACCATACACCACACGATGACTTTGACCCATTAATTTTCCCGTGCAACGCAAAACACATGGTCCTTTCGTTCACCCGCGAAAAAATAATAGTGACATCAGCCAGTGAGGGCTAATGTCACAGGACACGGTGGGATTAATGTCGGAATAACGTGCAGAGGTTTGTTTGGGTGAGGTGACGAGGGGAGGCCACGCACGCCATTGTACATTACTTTACATTCTCCACGAGACTCATATCGTCACGTGTACATTATACGCCTTTCTGTTCAAATAAGGGGTAAAAAAAAATCCCCCAGATAGCCAAGGTTGCTGCCAAGCGAACAAATAGCAGTGGATGCGAAAAAAACAACGGGAGAAAAAAAATAATAATAATAATGTTGAAACAAACCCTTTGGGTTCACCTCAATGGTTAACGCGTGAATACAGCTTGCACTGAGACGAATATCAGCCCCAACTTGACTGGAGGGCAGGTCGAGTATGATAAATCGCCCGGCCATTAAGTCGATTTCGTGGTTATCCAAGTCCTCTAGACACAACCAGAGATCGCATGCAAAAAGATAATTAGTGGGCCTGAGTCTCTCATTTATTCAACCATCTCGACGATCTTTTACCCGGAGGGGGCTGGAATAAGAAGAAGCACCCGACCCACTCATTTATCCTTTTTACTCTCAATTTTTCTCACGTAGTGATTGTTGATTAAATTCTCCAATGGCTCCGATGAAAGCTGAAAACCCTCATTCATTCCTCAATCGATTAAAACGGGTAAATAAACCGCAGAGTACCTTGCACCGGGGCTTTCTTTTTTCACGGGGGCAACGGTAATCAATACGATCATCGGGACACCTCCGAGAAAGTTGATATACGTGTGCACTTTTTTTACACTCTTTCTATGGGGTTTTTTTAATATCATTGCCCAGCAATAAATCGCACCGCGGAATCATCCGCATGTTCTAATTAAACTGGCTCCAGGTACCGGAGTATGTGAACCTGCCGGAGCATGAAGACCATGGAGATTCACGATTTTTAATTCCCCGGGCTTTTTCATACCGCTCCAAATAAATCATCCAACCTGATATGTTTATTTCTCATCCACTTTTTTTCACTTTTCCGCGGTGGAAATTCAAGAAATTACCTCACTACATTATTACTGAATATTTGGTAAATAAGTCTCCAATATTACATTATTAGGTGAATAAAATTAATCGAAAAAACCCCGAAGGACGGATGAGATTCGATGACTCAATCTCAGACGAGGAAAAATTTCAGAATCATAAATAACGTTGGGATTTATTTTAATTAAGATAACGTAGTTGTAACGACTTCATCAAAAATGAGTGAAGCCCCGAAAATGCGGCAGTAGCCCTGTCATTCTAATGGGCCCATAAAATTTCCAAATTCTCGAATATTCAAACACGAAGATCGGAATAACGATCGTAGCTGGTCCTCGGTCTTGAGAATTCTCGACATTTACGAGGCGCGAGACCCTCTGAGGTCGTCACAGCCTAGTACCCATTGAGTAATACATTTTGCCGACCAAGTGCGAGATTAATTAGCATAAAGCCGCATCGCCAACCAGTTTTCACAGGGCCTCAAATTATCCAACCCGAAGCGCTAATATTTTCCTCTCCATTTATCGTCTAACCCCGAATGAACCCCTCCGGAATAATCTCAAAGTCAATAGTTGTAATCCAAAAAGTTTTAATGACGTTATTAAACTTATTGCTGCGAGGATAACATGGTAAGCCCGTCCCGCGAAAGATTATCGAGTTTCTCCGCATGAATCAGAGATTCCAATAATCGATTCTGGCTATATCCCTCGTTATTACCAAAATGTAACAGCTTTCAAAGCAACCGCTGGCAAACCTCTGCCAAAGGTGGTAAAGGAACTCACCATTATCGACAGGAAATACCTGACGATGGCTCTCAAACTATTTCAGTTATCCTTGAAAACCACTTTGCGATCTCGACATGAACAAAATTAACGATATCCATCATAATTCATTTTTTTTTTCCTCATCGAATTTAAATTAGACGCGAAAGACTCTTCGAATGACTTTCGAATTCACTTTTACATATATCTAATTTTATAATGAGAGTATCAGACCCGCCCCTAAATTAATTTTCCCAAAGACACCATTTCTCAATGATTCACGGCTTCGGGTGGTAATTAAAATTGCAAAATGAGTCACGCCATCTGCGAATCCCATTTCTGGCCCGACGAAATCGTTTAGTTGTTGTACAAAAAAAAAACGCAAGCATGATTAACGGAATAAAAAATTCCGACTGAAAGCTCTACTCAACCCTGAGTAAGTGGCTAATGACGAAAAAGGTCAACGGTTAAGACCTTATTTGTAAACAATAATAATCTCGATTTCCGGATGGCCGTTGATCGAAAATTTTCTTCCCGAGTTAAAAAAAATGTCATACCCCCGGAAAATAATTTAAAATAAAAAATAAAAAGGAATAATGATGGCTGACTCACCAGGCTTGTCCAAATCCTGCAACTCCTGTCCCCGACCACCAACAACCCCCAATAGGTAAATCACCGCTATGCACCACCTCATTTTGCCCCACCACTTTTCACCCGCACTATCACATATACTTGTCACACAAACACAAGAGCCGGGATTCTCCAGTTATTCTCTCGGTCAAGCTCTCACTGTCGCCTGAGACTTGTATGTGAATTGTTTGGCATGATGAACCCCACTAATTGCCACCGAGGGCTCTTCCAACTGCTGCTACGACCCTCTCATCTCATTCTTCACATTTGCCCGGTGATTCCCCGAATTTAAACAACAAATCAAAAACTAAATATCTCACTGATGAACATTTGATTTGACTGTAATGTCTCTCCAACATTCGTTATCTCCCTTTTGTCCCTGCCTGTTCAACTGTGTAAATTGATCGACGTTGATTTTGCCGTGTGCGTCCCCACGGATTCAGTGACAGTCAATACCCCAACGTTATTTCCGATTTTTTTCTTTTCACTTGTTTCCCTCTTCCTGAATAACCCCCGAAAATCAAGTGATTTATTGGTTGTTCGAGAGTGGAGCACGGTGCGATCCATCAAAAACTACTGTCGCTCCATGTAGATAAATGTAAATGATTGATTTTTGATCACTCGCGATATCCCGGACGATCACCTGGGATTTTCCATTGGCTGGTGCACATTTACCTAGGCAAAATAATAAAAATGTGAATGAGACGTTGACATGTGTGAGAAAAATACAGAATCGGTTTAAACCTCACTATTTCAAAATTCTATCTCAGTTGAATCAGTTCAATACGTCTAGTTTATTCTCAACCCCTTAATCTACGTTCAAATCAAACTCTCAGGGGTTTGAATAAAATTTATACGTTCCCGTTTAATTATGTGAATCCAGTTGCAATTAAATTTCACTAGTTTCTCTTAACCCACCGCTAACACTGAAAACTTTGCGCATGCATCGCGCAACCGAATTCACAGTGTTGTGCGCATGTGGCGGGATTATCAATTGGTTATTCAATAAACGAACACGGGGAGTGTACCAACGTGGTTTGGAACACTGATGCATATGTATTGGTTCTTTAAAAAAAAAAAAATAAACGACATTCACTGCATCTAGAAATTACCCACTCGGTTGATCCCACGTTTGATATTCACTTGCTCCTAAATTCGTTTGAACGCGATAGGCTTCACTATCTCTTTTCATTCAATCGGATTTGTTTCATCCCGTGGAATTTGCTTGAATTTAAAATCAATGCGTCAATCAATCGATGGCATATTATATATATTTTTTTCACTGAGTGAACAGTTCACGTCAAATGCTAGATTATTGTGCATTAATCATGAAATTGAGTGGAGGGGTGCAGGGGTAATTTTTGGTGGAGTTTTTTTGTTTTGGTCCATTAGTGAAAACTCACGATTGAAATAATCGTGAGAGAACAACACGTCGAGACCTGACCCGTGACGGCTCGGTACTGAAGCTATTGAATTGAGGCAGAGGCAACTCTGGCGCACGCTAGCTTGCCACCACCATCCGTACAGGTTCGGCGCACGGTTCGGTCGTCTTCGCGTATTCTCGGGCACACTCTTCTATTTATCTCGCTCCCACTGTGACACGAGCCAGGTTACATACACAAAAGGCAACGGAGGGGGATGTAATCCGCACGCGGGTCTTCTCTATGATTTACTAACTCGGTGAGTGGAAATACGGTGCTCCAACTTTGTTGATGAGTTTGTAATCAAACGTTATGTGGAGCTTGTTTTCAGATATCGATTAATAATTTGAATATGTCTCAGTTGCATTTGGAAATATATCTCAAGCGATTTTTTCAAAAAATTTCATCCATTTGAAAATTCAGATTTTTCCAGACTCGCTCATCTCGCATCATCACAAACCCTCGATTATTCGTAATTTGTCTCATTAGCATGATGATTAAAAATCTTCAATCTCTTTTAATATTCAAATTGAACTCCCATCAGCCCGGTAATTCCCCAATCACCGAAAAATCGAAGGAATTTCCATTACTGCCGTACAAATAATGCATAATTTAGTGACCATCCCCCGGAGACATCGGTCATTTCCCGATTATTTGGCCGCCTCGACATCATCGGTGATTCACCCCAGATTTAACGATTGTCGTATGCATTCGAATTAACATTGGTGAATTGTACGATTATTGCCGATCCGTGAGGGCACGTCTGACCAGGCTGTATGCAAAGTACGTTATGTATGTTTCGTGGATGTCTCTTTGTACTCTGATCAACACCTCCATTTCAACTCCTGCATTTCACTCGGAGGCATTTACTCAGCGATTCACTCCGACGTGTCAATGTGACATTCTTTCATTTCTTTGAATTACTATTGCTTACGCACAAAAAAACCGGTATGTAAATTACGTTTAAAAAATCGTATTTACGCTGAATTTAAATGACGATTACCCAAATCAATATAATTGATAATAATAAAAACATGAATTACATATAATTCGTAAATTTAGGTCACAATTCCTGAATTTTTGTTTCATAATTTATCGCTGCGTAATCGAAATTTATGACCACCCAAAGCGTAACTTACCCATTAAGTTGAGCGTAAAATACGCCTAAGAAGACTTGAAATACGATTTCTTAATCGCAACTCCCGTGGAGGTTTTTATGCGTGTTCATTATTGTGTATTCAAATAAAATAAAAAACATCGGCACCTTGCAGAGATTAATAGATAACTCCAGAGATTTCTTGTCAATTCCCCCTGATCAAAACAAGTTCCGCGCCTCGATGTACGTATTGAGAACTCATTTACGACATTACCGGTCATGTACCTCATTAAGATGCGGTCATGGCAGTAAAATCACCGCAAATGATAACACTCGACACGAAGACTGTTTGGATTAGTCATTAGTTGCCATTAGATTTTTTATAATTCTCTTTTTTCATCGCCACGTAAAACCTGTTCCGCATGATCTCTCGCGTGCGGATATTGCAGGCACATCAAAATAAAAAAAATTCCACTGATCACCACAAGTGCATTCAGACCGCACAAATAATTTTCTGGTTAAAGACGCATTTCTGTACTTTGAAGAAATGAGAAAATTGAATGCAACGAGTATGTGTTTTTATGGTGGAAGTTTTCGGAGTGAAATCACCCCATACGTACTAGGTTGCGCTGGTCAGGTGTGATTTTTATTTTTGATGTAGACAGCGGGATGTACCACGGATTCGTTGCCATGGATTATTCCCCTGGTGGAATTGAAATCGGACGCTGGGTTGTGCATCACAAGGTACATCGGCAAACGCCCAGATCTGTTAACACGAGACCAAGCGTTGGCAAACGTGTTATGTCGTACAGGGCACCCACTGTGTTCTTGTGTGACTGCCACAGACGGCAGGATGAGCATGTTACTGAAGCTTCAAAGTCTCCGTGTCAATGACAACGTATTATATCATATCTGTGAATTGATGGATCCACCGACATTGTTAATTCATCAATGGCAATGTCAAATTCGAGAACGTCAGACCTTCATGTGCAATTCACTGGCAATGAAAAAATATATAAAAAATATATATTCTTGGAAATATATATTTTTTTTAAATATATATTTTTCAGGGATATCGAAAATTTCGTGGAAGTCGGTGGTGACCTATCCATGAAATTTCAATGTTTTTCAAAGAGTGTAGACTCTGGATGATGGAGTACACAACACCGGAGACCATTTCTATACACGTTTCCCTGGATTGGATGCACCCCAGCCCCTCCTAAAAAGCAAAGGATGTCCCCAGGATATCAGTGATAGTAGTGGTAAAAGGCATGAGTCTGTGCGGTATGACACGCGGAGAAACCCAGCAAATGGTCCGTTCACGAATTTATGTTGGTGTTTACTTCCACAGTGGACGACACTCGGTTGGAAGCACCGGAAAGATAGTTATCACTGTCGTAGATATAAAGCCGTTCTGAGGAACTGTTGTTACTGCCCTTTTTATACACAGTTTTATCACGATTTTACAAGAAAGAGATAAAATTAAATTTATATGAAAAATATAGGAGAATTAGAACGGGGGTGAAGTCACTGGTATTTGATGCTCTTTTTTCATGGCAAACATTTATTGGAATGATAGAAAACTCATGAGATTCAGGACTGGGGGATGTGGGGCGAATTGGTGCGAAAAGTATGGGGATATTGGTTTGATATTGTGTCGGGTGAACAGGATTAGCAGTAAGGAACTGAGAAGCCTTGAGTCTTGAGTGCGATCACAACCAGTAAATGATGCCATTCCATGAAAAATAGTGGTATTGACCTGAATTTTTACGAGAATGGCGCGTTAAACGTCGATTCCCTTGACGATAAGGAAAATCCAAAGGAAATTACTGAAACGAAAGGTGAAAACTGCGTTTCAAGCTTGAAATGACCGATCAAAAATATTTGCTGACCAGTGATACACCTACATTCCCATATTTTACATTCCCCTGACCGACATTTGTTTCTATTTCCTTCACCCCCTGCACCCACCCCCCAGTGTCCAGTCTCGTTTCCGAATTTTATGAGAATAAACGACACCACCGACGATGGAAATGTCGTGAGGGGAATATCACGCGTCGTGTTAACTCGTAAGTACGAAACGTGGGTTATAGAAACAGGTAGAGAAGTTTTTCAAGATGGAAACACGGAGAATTGAACAAAATCGAGGGGTGGTGGGTGGGAATTGGTGTGAGGACGGTGCGAATGAAATGAGGATGAAGTATATGGTTTTTGTAGAGAGAGAAAGGAGGGACTGAGAAGATGGGAAAAAGACGGAGAAATGTACGTGAGTTGAGACTATGGGAACAGTGCTTCAGGCAAACTTGGATTATGCAGATTGGTCCGTGTCGGACGTGCGAAACACGAGGTCCCGTGCGCGCGCCTTCTCCTTCTGCCATTTTAATGAAAAGTTTCTTCGTGACGGGGCCATTTGGCCCACAACTCGGAGGAAAGACGGTTTTGTTATATGGCAAATGGTAAGAGACGATGAAGGACATTTTAGAGTACCTGAGTCGACGAGGAGTTATCCTGTCAGGTACGAGAACCTCTGTATTTGAAATAAAACGTAACTAGACCTCTGAGAGTCCCTTAAAGCTCATCAACCAAAATACGAAACGAAAAAGTTCATCAACTTCACGTGTCGAACACGTACTGTTTTTAAAGTTTGACGCAATTTTTTTCGTTCAATTCTTGGGAATAATTGTGGAAACAATTATTACTAAAGTCTAAGTGGAATCAGATTCGTTGCTCGAATCTCGCGGATATATTTTCGTTTCACAACGAAAATACACAATTTAGTAATAGATCAATATTCTCTCCCTGGACGACAAAATAAATATAGAGGTGGATGGTTGGTATTATTTTCCAGAGGTGCAACAAACTCACCACATTTTCTCCAAATAGAATGAATAAAGGGTCAAACAAGCTCCTGTATGGTGCGATAAACGTGGCACTCGTCGTTTTCCATTCTCGATCAGCCTTCTTCTATATCTGTAAGTTAGAAAAACGCATATCGTGAATCCCAGTGACTTCACCAGTCTACTTTGGAATTGGAACATGGTGAGGAAGAAAAAGCACATAAGGAAAGAAGATAGGAAGTACATAAGGACGCGTATTTGAGACTGTGTCATCGTCTCTGCAGGCGGGATTGGGTGGTCTGGGGAGGAAAAATGGCCCCAGTGGAATTCGAATCCTCTCCTTTTCTCAGCGAGGAACAACTTGTCCTTGTTACCGTCGCCCCGGTGGAACGTGAGGCTTCCAAGACACGGGGCCAAGGGGATAAAGGTGATTTTCGGAGGGGAAAAATCTGACGGAATTCTCAGGGTTGAAGTTGAAAAAGTGTGAGAGAGAGGGTCAAGATAGTAATCGAAGAGTCCAGGTAAAGCCTGCGCTTGAGAATTGTTCAACCTGTTCCTCTCTTCGCAAATCCGATATATGAGTGCACTCCATACACCAAATGACAGAAAATACCCGAGGAAAAATACCATAGTTCAAAGGATGAAACTATTTTCATCGAATAAAGGGGAAAAATTCACGTTTATAACGAAAGAGAAAAGTGTTCAAAACGACTCGCTGTTGTCATCCAATAGCTTGTCTTCTAAATTGGAAAGCTCTTTCATCTTCTCCACGTATTCGCGTTGTGGACTCTTCATGGTTTGTTATGAAAGAAATTGCGTGGGTTTTTTATGCACCCTCTACGCCAAGTTCGTTAATTTCGATTCAATTCTGCTTTTCAGAGAAATAAATCAATCATTTGCAAATAGCTAGTATGAACTTCATTTGCGAATATAAATTAAATGGACATTCTATTGAGAGATTTCTCATTATCTACTGAAAGCGAAATTAAAACCATTTGGATTAATCAGTGGTGGGTTTCCGGTGAGGGAGGGGGAAATTGAGAGCTAATATTAATTTTCATTTAAATGAGTTGAATGTGTTTTTGATGG